TCTCTCTCTCTCTCTCTCTCTCTCTCTCTCTCTCTCTCTCTCTCTCTCTCTCTCTCTCTCTCTCTCTCTCTCGCTCTCTCTCTCTCTCTCTCCCTCCCTCTCCCCTCATCTTCCTCCATTCCTTCAAAATTCCTTGACCCCTAAAGCCTTCCGTCACCCCTTCTCCTCCATGGCATGTGACTAACTTCTATCCTCACCGTTACATTGCCAGGGAACGAACGGAAAGGAACTTGGTCCTCACTTGGTGGAGAGCGAGGGCAAGGGAAGGGCTGCCGGTCCCTTGTGCCACCAAGAAGGAAATGAGACTATTGAGGACGTTGGTGAGAGGAAAAGGGAGTGTTGTTTTGGACAAGGTCAGTCGACTCAACCACCTCCTCGACTGCATGCCTGAGTAAGAAGAGTGTGGTTTGACTGTGAGGAAGGAAGGAAGGCACCCAAAAGCATGGAAAAGGAAAGGGAGGACTTGGACTTGCATGAGGGGCGGTGTGTTGACCCCATCCGGGATGGACGTATGCGATTGTCATGTTTATTTGGATGTGTTGCAGGTAAGTGGCTTGGACGACTTGACAATGAAGGGATTGTGCGACATGGGACCGTAATGAGGAGAAGGAGGTTTGAATCTCGAACGGTCGGGATGCACTTTGGGCTTTGACGATTGCATGACTAGCGCGACCTGAAAAGACTAAGGGTCAGGGATGGGGTTGAAGCCTGACTTTGCCGTGATGTGTGGTTGTGGCTGGGTCGCGAGTTTGGTAGGACTGCCTGGAAGGACTAAGGGCGGTCACGAGACCTGGGAGATGTATGTGTAGGCCGACTAGAGGAAAGATAGGGGCTAGGGGCAAAGGGACGAGCCACCCCGATGATGCTGTAAGAAACTAGGGCCGTTAGTGAAGGAGTGCGTGGCCTAAGGAGAACGCTTAGCCTACGCACCGTAAAAAAGAGAAAACTCTCAATGAAACTTCCTGGACTGCCTGAGTATTGGAAGGAGCAATTGCCTGGTAAGACAAACAGAGAATCGAAAACCTTACGCCTGCGGACCTAGACCAGTGAGGCTACCATCCGGCTAGAGGGCAGAGCTACATCCCCAATGTTAAGCTCTCTCGCCCTATTGGCCCAACCCCATCCATCTCATAGCACTAGGTGCGGGTGCCCCTGGGACGAACGACCCGCGCTCTGAGAGTGAGCGTGGGCGGGTCGAGCCAAGTGGGACCCGCAGTGGGGTCGACCAAGGCTCGAAAGTCCTTCAGGGTTCGGCCCCGACAAAATGGTGGAGGTGACGGGCAAGGGTTAAATTGACCCATATGATCTCGAGGAGGGCGTCCGACGCATGACCGAGAACACAAACGTAAAGATAAGGAATATGAACTTGTGTGTGCTCTATCCCCTGAGAGAATCAGATTTGAGGGTGGCTAGGCGCATGGCAAGGCCAGGCCCGGAGGAAGAACATGCATGTTTGCACTTTTACTCAACCATCTTCTTTGGAGATGACTCTAGTCCTCCTTCCCTTGGACTGATGTTCGTCAGGCCGGGGAAGCCTTGGGCAAGCCGCAGGTCGACCCTTCCTCTTCGTGTGAAAGAAGGGCTCCGGTTACCTGGCAGGCGGTTGGGATTCCGGGCCAGTCCGGGTTCCAATGAAAATCCCGCAGCGGAGTGATCCGACCGACCTGGGTGCTTCTCTGCTTCTCTTCGGAGCCCAGCGGGCTCCGTGCACCGCACTTAAATGCTTGAAGGAACCTCATATGAACACAAACGGTAATTGAGAAGGAACAATCGTGCCCTATGAACGGACACACAAGTGAAGATGAAGGGAATGAAGGGAGTTGCTAGACTCCAGGGAAAAACTAGCTCCCCCTTGAAGATGCTCACGAAAAGGAACCGGGCACTATGTATGAAAAGAAGGGGTGAGTGGCACAGGCTGTCCTGAGAGAAAATTTGTGAGCTATGGGTAGGAAGCGCTGGGTGCACCAGGGGAAAGACACTTATGTTATGGGTGTCCCACTTGGGGCTTGTGATTGCATGATTGGGATTTCGAGCGTCATGTCATTTGGAAGGAAAGAATTGGTTTGCGCCGGCCGGTGCAGGATGCGAACTGGTTGTCCTCTTGGAAGTTCACTGGGTTCCGTGTGTGGGGGTCGGGCCACCGGACTGTCAGGCAAGGGTTGGTCTCGTCGGCTGATTAGTAGCATTCTCACCCGAGCGGCCCGAGCATGGCTCGATGACCTTGCCCAGGCGGGATGTGAAACCTCTTCAGGCGGGGTGGCTGCTTGTCGGCGGACGGTAGGGGGACCACTGCATATGGGGCAAGGAAGGAGCCTCGGAGACGATTAAAAGCTTCTCGTAGCATGGCTTGGAAAAAACTGTTCCTTATCGGACCGATGGAAGTGAATGCCTGGACGACTGGCTCCAATGGCCCTACCGAGATGTGCGGGGTGATTCCCGAGATTAACGGTGGGTACACGAGCGGCAAGTCGGGATGGGGTATTCTTGGTAAGGAGGAAAGGGCGAATGCCTTGCCGAGACCTGGGTACCGCGCTCGCGATGGTTGAGCTGTGCTGGAGGTATGGGCTGAAAACCCTGCCGATAGTAACAGTGGAGAGACCATTTCTGGGAAAAAGGTCGGTGAGGAGATGACCGATCTATGTGCGACGTTTGCCTGGTTTTGCTTTTTGTGCCTCCCTCTGTAAAGTTTCCTGATGAATGTTGGAAGGGGACCGAGCTTCTAAGTCTATTCTCACCTCCAAGTCTAAGTCCGCACGAGTGAGAGAACATGAGGAAGAGGTTGGATAGGAGTCGGAAGGAAGTGGAACCAAGAAAAAGGAATGCGAGCCACTGATGATCGATTGGGGGGGGGACTGGTTAGGGACGTGGCGTTGGCTGATACGCTTGGAGGATGGGTAAAGAACTTTAGGGAGACCTTGATGAGGGGTCTCTAAAACAATGCTCATCTAGGATAATGGTAGACCTAACCCGAGGGCCGATTGGTGCGCTCATTGGACGAAACAGGTCTTGGCCACCGGTATAAAGAAGGCAGGATGGCGCAGTGGCTGGCGTCGCCAACCTACTCAGATGGACCAGAGATGCCGATAGATGTGAAGGGTGGGGTATCGGTCGTAATGCCAGAGGAAGGAACGTGGACGGACTTGGAGACGGCCTATCAAACCGTAATGCTGGCCGAAAGTGATGCCTTCCTATGGATTGAAACGATGTGGACTAAGGTAACCTTGACCAGGATAATGCTGTGCCTATTTGACTTAGAGTTCCGGGGGAGTGTGGAAGCCCGGGGATGGATCTACCTGTCGAAGGAGAGGGAGACTGCGATGGTTGTCGAACTCGCCTTGGGGAAACTTCCATACAAACTGTTCAGGGAGGCCGAGCAGGAAGTAGTGTGGGCCGCGTGCCAACGAGTGGAGATGACGATGAAATCGGTTGATGTGCGGGTAGAACTTGGGGATAGGGAAAACGTGCGGAAGCTGTACAGGACCCTAAGGTGTGTCATGCCGCCCTTCATGGTAAACGCAGTCTTTGGAGCCCGGAGTAGGTTGGTGCGAATATGCAGGGCCATGGCAGGGTTGGGGTTGCACCAGGGAGCCCGTCAGGATTTCTTCCGGCTGTCGGTCGAAATGGGACCCTTCGAGGGAAACTGGGCAAGGGAACTGGCCGAGATTTTAAACCATCTCAGCACAGACGGCCTGTTCGTCCCAAGTGAGGTGCACTGGCGGATAGTTTACATGAATGTTGCGGTAGGGGAAATCTTTTTAGAGGGTGTACGGAACCTGTGGCCTGAAGAGAATGAAGATGACTCCGAGGAGGAGGACGAGATGAAAATCAAGGAATGAGATTTCTAGGAAAAAAAGGGGTTGAGGACGGAGTGGTTGGGTCGCGTGGGGGTGTGCAGGGAATCGAGGATGGCAAGGGAGCAAAGCTTGTGGGCGCGGATGTTTAGAGGATGGATACCTAGGAGGGTTGAGGGCGGGGTAGAGATGGTCTTGCCAACAAGGAATGAGTGGCGCGGCGCGGCCTGCGACTGGGTGGGAGTAGAGATGGTACCGACTATGTCCTTTTTGTGGGTAGAACGGGTGTGGGATCCGGTTCGAGAAAACGAGGCGTGGGATGAAATAGCCGAGGGAAACGTAGAAGCACTTGGGACGGTGTGCCTTTCGAAGAATGGGTGGTATATGTTTTGCACGCACCTAGCGGCGGGACGAGACTCGATGTGGATTTTAGAGGATGCCGAGCAGTTAACTTGGGAAATGGGGCAGGATTTTGCAAATGAGGGGTGGGATGAAGTGGGAAGCAGGGTCGTGATGGGGGGATGGGAGGACCTTAGGCTCCCCCACCAGTTAGTCCAGGTGAGGGTGCCGCATTTTGTTGCGGACTGGTTCGGAGGGTACGAACATATCCGTGCCGTAGCGGAATCCATGAACGAGGTAGAGATAGGCTTCGCCTGGTTATCAGACGCTTATTACGAGGCGTCATTGCGATTCGGGCCGTTTCACGGGAACCGGGTTGAGGAAGTGGTCGAGATCCTGAAGGAACTTAAGGACTACCGACTAGAGGTAGGAGAGGAAGTCGAGGAGGCGATACTCCGTCGGGAAATAGCTGCAACGCCCTCATATGTAGGGGACGTCTTCTTGCTGTTTGAGGTCCTATGGATTTGAGTACGGACCTGGGAAGACAGGGGAATAGGGGGGATTGACTGGGAAAAGAAAGGGCATTGTACATTAAAAGAAGGGGTAGTGTACACAAGGGGGGGGGGGACCGAAATAGAGAGGGGGGGGGCTAGGGTAACTAGGAGACAAGGGGAGAAGACGAGAACCAAGGGAACTTGACTAACGTGGTGCATGCAGAAATCAAGAGCGAGGAGCGGGAGCAGGTAACGAGAAATGGCTAGGCGTATGACGCTTTGGGAAACTCGGCCGCGAGGGATCTTGCCTCCACGTTTCTTGGATAGAAGGGTGGAGGTTAGCCTGCCCTCCAGGGGCGGGGTGTATAATCTGGTGATGGACTGGGTTGGGGTAGAACTGGTAGATGACACGGTGTACTTGGTGGTGGAACTAGAATGGCGCGCAAGGGGTGAGTTTGGGGGCACCAATCTGGAGTTGCCAGGACGGGTGATCGCGACAGGGTCCCTATACTTGTCGGATGCGGGATGGCGGACCTTCGGGGTGGCCTTGGCGGATGGCGGTGAACCCGTACGGATGTTTGACGGGGCGTGGCAGGTGACCTGGAGGGAAGGGTTTGCGTTCGCCAGCCCGGACCGGGATAACGTAACGGCGACCGTCCGGGTGGTCGAGGTAGGAACTAGTATCTTGCCTTATGAAAATGTGCGCATGGTCTTGCCACCCTTTTTGCTTGAGCGAATGAGAGGGGTAGAACGTGCTGAGATGGCAGTAATAGCCCTGGATAGGTTGAGTTTTAGTAACATGACCGTCTATCGGGAATATTACCGAGCCTTTCTGGAACTAGGGCCGTTCGATGAGGAGGAGGAGTACGAGGTGCTAAACATTCTACAGGCCGTAGTGGGCACTAGACCTGGAATACCGACGGTAACCGAGGAAGTTGTGTGGGAGATAGCTAGGCGCGAGATAGGATGCGGGCTGACGTATGTGGACGACGTCTGCCGGCTGTTCGAGGGGGTAGAAGAATAGGAGGGCAGAAAGGAAAAGCAAGCGGGAAGGTAGATGAGCGGGATTGGGCTATAAGGGGGCTTGAAGAAAACTAAAAAGAGAGGTTCCTTTTTCCTTTTCCCCTTTTTTTTGTGCGTGGTGTATGCTGGGCGATATTCGCCAACAATGGCAGAAAGACGCGTCCTTACGAACCGGCGGGACATGCACCCGCAACCGCCCATGGAAACCGGAGGCGGATGGGAAGTGTCACTCCCGGCAAGCTACATTGTCCGGGGGATAGATACGGAATGGCGGGCTGTGACCCTAGGATGGAATCAGGCTTTCATGCTAGTTGAATGCCTATGGGGTGGCATGAGATTCGATAGGGGGCCATGAGACGACTTATATACTGACCTCAGGGTGACAGGGACTCTATATTTCCCAGAAATCGGGTGGCAAATGTTGGGAACTGGACTGACCTTGGGGCATGGGTTGTTACCAGTGTTTCGGAGGGCATTCAGGGTCCTGAACCGGATAGGCCATGAGGTTAGGGGAAGACGAAATGTGGGATTAAGGATGCGAGTAGAAGTAGGGGGATGGCAAGACTTTAGGGCCCCTATGTCTGGACTGCGCTCCCGGGTGCCCCGGTTCATAAGTTGATTTGGTTTTTGGGAGTCTCGCGCGGGCAAGGGACCTGGTGAATTCAACCGTAATCTGGGAACGCTACTTCTCACCACAGGCCACGGGGATGTTCTATAACGTGGCAGTAAAACACGGACCGTTCTGGGGAAATCGGGCGCGAGAATTGCTGGAACTTCTTGAGATCCTGATATTCGGAACGCCCTGTCTGTCGTTTGAGGAATACGAGCCAATAATCATAAGGGAGATCGAGATGGGGGCGAAATATCTCGCAGGGGTGGCAAGACTATTTGAGGAACCGGATGAGAGGGAGAGACTGGAAGAGCCAGCATAGGAAAGATGCCGGGAAAGATGGTAGAAATAAGAACCAAAGGGAAAGAAAAATAGGTATAAAAAAACCGATTGGATGGCCGCGACCAGGTCTACCATGGGTTGAACACATGCCAGGAAAAAGGGGGGGGGGAGAGACGCCGTTGCAACCAAAGGTGCGACTAAGATACCTTGGATAAGCAAAGGGACGAGCAAAAAGGGGTAAAAAATAGGCAATTCTAAAGGCTAAGAGAATTATGTGCGATTGCCAAAAAAAAAAATTCCTTCTTCCATATCATAGGGCTAGAGGAAGGAGAACATGGACACGGGAGACAAGGCTGGAAGTCAATTGAGGGACGAAAATCAGGACGTAGAGGACGACGTAGATCAAGAAGAGCGGGACCTAGGGGATCGGGGGTCGACAAAAAAGTCACTAGGAGACAGGGAGAGGAGCAAGGACGTTGTGCCCGGGAAAGATTCAGGAAAGAGAGGGGGAAGTAAATGGAGGACTCCGGGAACCAAGGAAGTCAGAGACAGGGAGAGTCCGACACGTCAACAGCCCGAGGGGGCGGAGCCGAAAAAGGTCAGGCTAACGAATGCACGGAGAAAGCTAGCAAAAGTAGACAGACGCATGGTAGAATACAGGGCAAATCTATTGGAAGAGATCATGAACGATGCCGAGAAAAATGCCACTGATGACAGGACGTGGGAAGAAGGGGAACTGGACCTCGGGCAAGGAAGCCAGGATGGGGATGCTGGATGGGGATGCACAACACAGGAAGGATCGGCCCAGAGACACGAGGGATACCCCAACAAGGAAAGGGAAAGAAGGAATAGAATTCCTTAGGGAGGATACTGATAGACCAGTCAATCCACCCCTACTGGACAGCGGAGCAAGCCGACCCTCGGCGTCGCCTGTAAGTGCAAAAGGATGCGAGGGACTCTGGAGCCTGAGCGAAAGGGTGCTAGGATGGTTTGATCCGGAAGGGATCGCAAAGCCAAAAGGGCAACTCAATTTTAGCAAGGAAGGCGCCGGTCCGAGTTCCGCTACAGGACCTGGGATGATTGAGGGAGGGCTTAGGAAGGTGGTGTCGTCCCTCACGAGTGCTCTAAGCAAAAACCAGGGATACTTGGCCGACGCCAAGAAAAAACCGACTTTCGATGGCGAAAACATCACCAAGTTCCTAATCGATTATGAAAATCTAGCAGCCGTACTAAGATGGACTGAGGAGGAAAAGATGGAGCACCTAGGCCAGCATGTGCCACTCAACCTAGGTAGGGACATAATGGCAATCGTCGCAACAAGCGGATCATGGAAAGAGGCCAGGGACATGATGATGAGGAAGTATCTAGCAGACGAACAGATGGCCACGGAGGCGGAAAAATCTACAGTGCAGAGGAAGCATTCCGCAACATACAGCGACTTCCTAAGGGAGTTTACTCTGGTAGCACTACGAATCCCCGGAGTGATGGACCGAATAATGAGCAAGTACTTCCTAAAGCAGTTCACCGAGTTCGACAAAGGTAAGATTTTGTCCGCCTACCAGCAGACAGCAAAGTTCATGAACACTAGAGACGTAGATTTCAACACTATAACGGACATTGCAGAGAAGATGGCGGTGACCGACTCGTTGGCCCTGCTAAAAAAGGGAGAAATCATAGATTTGACAGGCAAGACTGGAGACAAAGTGAACAAAGGAATCGAACGCCTGCACGAGCGGGTCCACGGGGTTGACGACAAGATAGAGAGAGTAGAGAATGCCTTACTGGTGATGCAAGCCCATGTCTCGCAAACGCAAGCAGTACGACCCCCCCTCCCGCCACAAGAGGCAATCGTACCGCCAAGGATAGCCAACCGCGGTAATAATCGAAAGGACCCGGGCAATGAGCAGTGCAAGCGATAGTCGGGCATTTTGCCCGCATGTGTCCCAGGCTTAACCACGATATCATCCTTAAACGTTGCTTTAGAACTTTGCGCGGGGAAATCCTGGGGCCACGGGGAGAGAGGGTAAACTAGAACTCGTCGGGAGGGATGCGTAGAGCAATAATCGCACTTAACAACTTGGACGCAGCTGCGGTTGAGGCCGAACCAGTAGAGGAACTTACGTGGGGACAGGCACCCGGGCGAGGGCATCAAGTTAACTTCATCACCGAGAGTGATAACCGCGACGGGGTTAATGTGACCACCAGACAATGGGGTGCTATAAAGAAGGTAATTCAGGACGCGGTCATGGAAGGCGCGCAGGAAGGGTCGAATCCGCCAGCAGATTCGGATCAGGACAAAGTTTACGGCAAGCCTAGGGAGGAGGCGCCGGTAGACAAAGTAACATCCACAAAGAAGAAATTCAGGTACCAGATCCCTATCCTTGTCGATCCTGAGATAGACCACACTCTTAGCCAATTGCTAGGGGCCATGGTATCGGTTTCCTTCCAGACCATGTTGTAGGCTAGTCCTAGACTACTAAAGGGCCTAAGACAGTTGCTAACAAGGCAAAGGGTGGAAGTAGCAGAGGAACCAGATGTACGCGAAGAACGCAAGGAAAAGGAGCCACCGCGGGAAGTGGCAAACCGTCAGAGGGCCCCCGGGGATTTGGAAGATCTAGAGAAGGCCTTCGCTAACATCCGGCTAAGTCTGCCAGACCGGGAAGGCGGAGAAGTCATGAGGGCACCGCCTGGCACGAAACTGAGTTTCCATACGCTACCGGTAGGGAAACTGAAAGTCCAGATTGGCACCCACCATACGGATACACTGGTAGATGGCGGGGCAGAAATCACACTCATTCGCAAGGACTTTGCAACAATTGCTGGGTGTCCAATCAACCGGGAGGTCACGGGGAGTGTCCGGGGAGCAGGTGGGGAAATCCCCTTTTCCGGCTATGTTACCAAGTGCGGAGTTAAAGCCGGGGTTAGAGAGTCTATATGGTCGTTCCAACGAATGACCGTCATGGACGAAATGGACCATGACGTGATCCTCGGGCGCCCGTGGTGTGCCAACGTAGAGATGATCGGGATGCATCTGCACAACGACGCCTACATGGCAGACATAGAGGACCCGATGACAGGACAAGGCGAGCTGCTTCGCCTTATGGGAACCGGGGGAGACACGCCAAAAGGGAAGCTCGCAACCTGGTCACCCTCCTTTGAGGAGAGCGCTAGAAAGGGGGCTTTCGCACGCATGGAAGGGATGGGAGAGAGGGTGGAAATTATGATCGAAGAGGCCTTTAGTAAGAAAGAATGGGTCAAGATGGGACTGCCGATGAAGAAACGTAGTTCAGACGAAGACGCCCTAGGAGTCATGGTAGTAGAGAAGGAAACAGAGGTGGAATTGGGAGCCAGTTTGCCCAAGCACGGGGAGATCCGGGACAAGAAGGATAAGGTCGCACTAGAAATCCCGGACTTACTGCAGCTTGTCAAAGCAATCAAGTACCACAAAGTGGCCGTTGACCCGGCCGCCCTCGCCAGCTTTGAGGAGAGGATCCAAAACGGCTATTGCCTAAATGGAGAGTTGGTCAGTATTCAACCCCGCATTGTGGAAGCCCCGCAAGCACCTCCGGCCGTTCATTTTTTAGAAGAAAGATCCTGGAAGGAAGCGTTCGGAGGTATAAGCCAGTAGGAAAGAAGGCGAAGCCGGTCTCCATCCTACTCGAGATGACTAAGGAGGAGGCCATGGAAAAGGAGGAGGAGGTTCTTTGGGTACTTAGAGAAAGGAGGGTGGCGGAAGGATATAGGATACCGGATGAGGTGGCCCAAACCATGAAGATCGGAGTGAAGGGTTTTCTGACGGAGCAAGAAACACAAGCAATGAAAGAAGTATGCCAAAAATCTCACCTAGCATTCGCTTTCAATGACCATCAGAAAGGGCGCCTGGATGCTAAGTTTATCCTGCCAGTCAGGATCCACAAGGTCGAGCATGAGTGTTGGAATGACAAGGGACCGGCCTACGACTTTGGGATCGCAGGAGAAGTGACGGAGCTCCTTAGGGAAAAAATGGACTTCTTCGTGACAGAACCCACCGCGTCTCCTTATGCCAACAAGTGGTTTGTATTCCGCAAGCCCGATAAGTCACTTAGGTGGATTCAGGACCTGCAAACGTTAAATGATGTCACCATCTGGGATGCGGGATCGTTGCCGCAGGCAGATCTCCTGGCCGAATCCCATGCCGGACACAGTATTTACTCCTTGATAGATCTTTACTCAGGATACGACCAGCTCCCGCTGGACGCACGAGATAGGCTCTACACGGCTATGCATATACGCCAGTAGGACAGTTGCAGATGCAGGTCACGCCTATGGGATTTACTAATGCGGTAGCAGAGACACAGAGGAGGATGCTCGCGGTGGCCGGGGACATGTTCCCAGACAAATGTGAGCCTTACATTGACGACAACCCTGTCAAAGGAGCACGGGAGAAGGATGAGACCGAAGTCCAGCCGGGGATAAGAAAGTTTGTCTAGGACCGCCTGCAGGATATTAGAGAGCTGCCGCAAAGATTCCTAGAATACAACATAACCGCTAGCGGTCCGAAGAGTATTTTGGCAGTTCCAGAAGTCACAATTTTGGGATTTCGTTGTGGGGCCTATGGAAGGAAGCCGGATCCGGCTAAGACCGATAAGATAGCACAGTGGCCTATGCCCCTTCGAACTACAACAGAAGTCAGGGCATTCCTGGGGGTGGTAGGCTTTTGGAGAATCTTCATAAAAGGGTTCACAAAGATAGCGGAATCGATTCGAGCCATGATCTGTGAAGAAGGTACACTTGATTGGACTGAGGAAAGGGAATCGGTCGTCCAGACCCTGAAAAATATTCTCACATCCGAAGAAGTGACCCTTGCCGCTCCGTGTTTCAACGACGAGGTCGGTCGACCTTTCATCCTTGAGACGGATGGAGGACCAATGACAATCGGCGGGGTGCTAATTCAAAGGCGAAGATGATAGAGAGCAACCGATCAGATTTGAGAGTAGGACGCTCAATTCGGTTGAGCGGCGCTACTTTCAGTTCAAGAAGGAGGTACTTGCGATACTGCATTGCCTTAAAACCTTTCAGGCTTACCTCTTCGGGAGGAGGTTTATCCTGAGGATAGACCCAACCAATGTCGTCGGGGCCCTGAAGAACTATAAGCCTATAGACCCGACCGTTGGAAAATAGGTAGGATTTATCTGGCAGTTCGACTATAAGATTGAGCGCGTAGCCGGCCTTAGGAATCGAGCAGACAGACTGAGCAGGGTGGCCCTCACACCCGAAGGGTTAGAAGAGGCAGAGCCGATCGACGCGTTCCTCGACTACGAGGGCGGGACGCTGGTAGTAGATAGCGAGATGGCCGGAACCACTTGCACAACTGGGGAGCTATTGATCAAAGCACTCGAAAAGGGGCCTCCGACAGTGGTTGCCGAGTTAAGGGAAGGTACGGCCACCAGAGTTGGAAGGAGGGAAGAGAAGGACGCTTGGGGCAGTGTTGTGAAGCCCCGGGATGAACAAATCGCACTAGCCGTTGAGGGAGGCTGGAGAAGGGTTATGAGCATGAAGGAGTCTCAGGAGCTGGAGATGCAGCACTATCAGGCCTATCAGGTGGATAATAATCAGACAGGTACTCAAGAAGAAGAACAGTTCTTCCTCATCAAGTCATATGAAGGTTTGTTCAGAGAAATTGGGTTGCTATTGGTGGGGAACAAGGAACCCCACGAGGTTAGTCCTAAAGCTAGGGAGGAAGCGGATAGGTATGCGCTTAGAAGGGGGCACCTATTCCGAAAGGAGGAAGGCCTGACGCCCAGGAGAGTAGTCTGTGGAAGGATGCGACGACTCGACATTATTCAGGCCATGCATGACGGATTGGCCGGTGGCCATCGCTCATCTAAAGGGACCCTAACCAAGATAACACCGCTTTATTATTGGCCGGGAATGGCATGTATGGTAGCCACGTACTGCCAGACCTGCAAAATCTGCCAGGAACGAAGCACGATCCGCATTTTCGAGCCACTTAGACCCACCCGCGTGCTGGGGTCAGGGCATATGGTACATCTCGACCTGGCAGTCATGCCAGTTTCCAGAAAAGGGTACAGGTACATACTTGACGCAAGGGATAACCTTAGTGGGTTTGTCGAGGCAACCGCGCTCAAGAAGAAAACTGGGTTTGCAGTTGCAGACTGGGTGGAGGACTTTTATCTGAGGCACCCGTTCATCAGGAGATTCATAGCCGACAATGGGACTGGGTTTGTAAACCAGGACGTCCTGAATACCTGCAAGAGGCTTGGCGTACCGATCAAATTGACAGAACCATACCACCTTGAGGCCAACGCGCCAGTCGAGCGAGGGCACCAAACGCTTAAGAACACGATTGCAAAGTTGGCAGCAGATGACCTTGGGAACTGGCCGGACTATCTCAGACATGCGGTATTTGCCGATAATATGACACACGACGGGATGCATCCCGACAGAGCTATGGTATGGCAGGGAGATTGACTTTCCGGTAGAAGCCCTAGTATCCACCTGGAACAAATTGGAAGATGACCCTCATCTGACTACGGAACAATTAATTGAGGCAAGGTGTGAACAAGCGGCCAGGAATGAGGATGCCTTTGAAGAAATAGCTCATAAGGTACTAGACAGTCGCATGAAGGACAAAACCAGGTGGGACCAGTTGAAGAACATCTGGAAGGAGCCTCTGCAGGTCGGGGAGATGGTCCTAGTCATAAATTTGGCACTAAAAACTACATGGTCAGGCCAGTTGGGGCGGCGATTCAAGGGACCTTATCGTATTGCAAGAAAGTTGGGTGCGAGCACGTTTGAGATTGAGAACCTGGATGGGATCACTATAAGGGGGCCAGTCCCTGCGCAACGACTGGTCAGGTTTCTCACTAGGGACCCAGTGGAACAATGACTGCAAGAAGCCCAGGATAAGGAGGCGGAAGACTAAGGCTGCTCAGGACAGTGGCAAGAGGCCTACTTATCGCTTGTGCTTCTGGTTGTTGTCTTTTGTTTTTTGTGTTTCTCTCCTTTTGACGGTCTGGGTGTGCACGAGTCGCATGGGAAAACATGCGATTCGGCGGGGGTTTTCTGTATCATAGTTTTTGTGGGATATTGGGATGAGCAATGGGGGATGGGACATTGTACCATAAGACATGGCATTGGAGGGGCGTTGGGAAAAGGGGGCGAGGTGGTCAGCTGTTCCTCCTTTTTTTCCTTCTTCTTCATGCCTTTCTGTTTCCGTGGGAGCAACTGGGATTGGGGGACACGTGTGGGCAGAGCCTGGGATGAGTGTTACAAGGGAATGGGTTGGGGCTTTCTCCTGTCTTGTGTCCTGCCTTTCAGGTATAGAAGTCAGGCGGACCAAGATGGCACCCAACAACGAGAACGATATTAATCAAGCAAACCTCAATGTTGATGACCCATGGCGGCAACCAGAGAGGCCGCAAAACAGAAACAGACCGGTGCTCCAACCCCGGCCCCCTGTGAGGACGGGAAAAAGGAAGATGCAAGCCTGTAGACCCTCCCCTACAAAAGAAGGCGATGTGCTCCGAGCCTGGCCAGAGGATAAAAGTGAGCAAGAACGGGAGGAAAGCAGGGAAGAAAAAGGGACAGAGGACCAGCACAAGGAAGAACCTGGGCAGGGAAGCCGGAAAGACGCTAAGGGATCCACAGAAGATGACAGTGAGACAGGGGAGGACATTCCGAAGATTGTAATTGTAAATAGCGATGACGAGATGGATAGGGTCTCAAGGCCCAGGCTGGAAGGACAGGCCTCAACAAGCAGGGCTTCAGAGGAGGTCCATGATTGGGACGAGGTATTCGGCCCCACACCCAGTCATTGGTTTGAGGTGTGGGCCAACACTTTTAGACATGACTGGATTATTATAGCCCGTAGCCTCATGGCGGCTGGGGAGAGGGTCACGCCAACGGACTTTTTCTCAAAAGAAACATTACATGATATGAAGGCAACATTGGACGAGATACGGACCTACGGGCTGGGGGTGGCGCCGCCACCAAAGACAGAGGAGGGCAGGGGCGCTAAGCGCCAAAGAACGGATCGGGATACTGGGAATTAAGGGTTGGCAAACTGGGGTTGGATGGCACGGTTGGATGTAAAATAGGGGCGCTGGGACTCGGCAAACCAATCAGGGAGAAAGGCGGGGGTGGTATTTTCTTAAGTAGCTTCCTAGAAACAGAGTAAGTCAAGGCAAGGATGTGAGACTTTGTGTGAAACAATGCCTGCTGACCTGAAACTTGCTAAAAGACATGAGGGCAAGCTGGGAGATGCAGGGAGATACAACTTTTTGAGTATCAACTACTTTTTCTGAGTTTGGCAAAGACGAAGGAGAGTGTGATTGGGGATTCAAAAATAGGGAGGTTCTCTCTTTGTTATTTGAACAATCTGTAATTCGGTTTCTGTCTTCTCAACAAATTGTGATACTGGTTGGATTGGAAGGACTTGGGCATGGCTACAGACACAATGAGTCTCTCAGAATGTACGGTCACATGGGTGAATGACGATGGTGTCCTGTTAAGAGAGGTTAGGGAACCTACGGGTATAACGGCATGACAATGCTTTCCCCTAGGAGCCTAATCCGATGGAGTCCAGTCCTCACCATCAATATGCATGAGACCTGCAGCTATGATTGAACGACCGGGCGGGCTAGCATTGCTAAAGGCTAGGTAAATCCCGCCGCGAGCCAGACGCTAAGTCGGATGTATGAGAAAGATAAAGAAAAGTGGAGCAAAAAAAGGCATAGCACGCTAAAACTAATGGCCACCACCTACCCCCCCCCCAACTGACAATCGGATTCGAGCCTCCCTCAGCCCACCCCCTCGGGCGCTTGTATTCAGAAGGGAATGTTTCCATGTCTGCCTTTATTTTGGCCTCCTCGTGTCCCTTGCTGACTAATGTACATGCCCTTTTCTTATGTTACATCCTAAATCACATGCATCCTCCATACTCCGTCCTTCCCGTGACGCTCGAACTTTGAACCCTTCTAATCAAGCCACCGTACCTCAAACAGCAAAAAGACATCGTCCACATAGGATGGCGTGACCTCCTCCTCCCGGCTTACTATGGCATCCCAAGCTTTCGCGCTTACTTCTGGGCGGTCGTACTTGCCTATCCTTAGGACGATGATGACTTCCTCGGCTTTATCTCCGTAGAAGGGCTCATATTTCAATGAGAGCCTATAAAACTCCTCAGTCAACCAGGCACACTCTATATGCACCCTTCTCATGGAGTCCGCTACTTCTAAAATGTGCTCAAACCCCCCAAACCACTCGGCTATGAATTCCGGTATCCAAGCCGTTATCCGTAGACTTGGAGGTTTGAGTTCCTTCCATCCTCACATCACAACTCCGCTACTAACTTCGTCCCATCCCTCGTTGGCGAAAAGCTTGCCTTCCTTTCGGGTTCGGGCCTCTGCATCCCCTAGAAGCCACATCGGGTCCTGTCCCATTGCTAACATGGTGCAAAACAGGTGTCATCCATCCTCGGAAAGGACAATGGTTTCAACTGACTCTACCTTGCCTTCTGCTATATCATCCCATCCTTCCTCCTCCCTTATCGGGTTCCAAATCCGCTCTATCCATACATATGACAACTCCCGGGCAACCTTAAACCGAATCCAATCGCACGTGGTCCCTCTTCATCCGTTCCCTGTTGGTATCGGCATTTCTATTTCTCCTCTAAGTCGCCGTGGTTCCCACCCTTTGAAGGGGTATTCCATCATCCTTTCTTCTCTAGTCATCTTGTCCTTTCCTGCACAATATCAGACCACCCGTCCTCCCTAAGTTAAGTTTCCCCACTCCTCTCAGAAGTCTCAATCCTCTATCTCCTCATCCTCGTCCTCATCAACGAAATCGTTCTCTCCGTCGTAGAACAACTCTTTCACCCCCTCCAGAAATATCTCCTTTATTGCCACATTTCTATACACTATGCCCAATGTACAGGGCTAGAGACATAGATCTTGTTTAAGCTTAAGACATCTGAGTATCTCGGTCAGTTCGTCCGCCCAGTTCCCCTCAAACGGCCTCATTTCTACTGACAACCGAAAAAAATCCTGCCTAGCGCATTGGTGTAGCCCGAGGTTCGTCATGGACTGACATATCCGTATCAGCCTGCTCCGAGTTCCGAAAACCGCATCCACTAGGAAGGGAGGCAACACATATCGCATGGCTCTTACGGGTCGCCTCATGCTTCCTCTATCCCCAAGTTTCACCCGCACACCTACCCTCTCCATTTCCATCTCCCTTCGCTGACACGCAGCCCACACAACCTCTGTTTCCGCCTGCTTAAACAATTCGTCCGGCGTATTCCCGAGTGTCAATTCCATGACCATAGCATTTTTTCCATCTTTCGACAAGTAGACCCACCCCCGAGCTTCCACTGTTCCCCGGAACTCCAAATCCATTAAACTTGGTGACAACCTTGTCAAGCTAACATTAGCCCATACCGTCTCTATCCATAGGAACGCGTCTTTCCCATCCAGCATCACGGTTTGATATGCTGGTTCAAGGTCCGTCCACGCCCCATCTTCAGGGAGGACGACCGACACCCCATCCTTTACGTCTACTGGCATCTCTGGACCGCTGGTATAAGTCGGGGGAGACAACCATCGCGCCATCTTGTTTCCAGCACCCGGCCCCTGTTTTTCATGAAACAGTACCAACCGGTTCTTCTGGTCAGGGCAACCCCTTTTCTTAAATGAGGATTATTTCAGACCTCCCATTAGGGCTCCCTAATTTACCTTCTCATTCCTAAGTACCTCTTTTCCCATAATTTTCTCGGTCGGCCACCGATTTGTCCACATTCTTTCTCTTGGTTTCATTCCAATTGACCTCTATCCTTCTTCCTTCTGATCATCTCTCACTCGTGTGGACTTAGAAGGGAGGGGGAATAAACTTAGAAGAATACCCGTCCAACAATCCAAGCTTAATCAATCTTTACGGGGGAGGGTACATAACAAAATCAGGCAATCTCACATACGGGATATACGGGTCATCTCCTCACCGGTCATCCCAATATGGTCTCTCCGCTGGTACTATCGGTAGGGTTGTATCCCATACCTCAAGCACAGCTCAACCGTCGCGAGCGCGGTACCCAGGTCTCAGCAAGGCTTTCGCCGTTTCCTCCTTACCCAGAATACCTCATCCCTTCTTGCCGCTTTGCACATCCATACCGACACCGAGGGTTACCTCGAGTGCCAAAATACAGGGACAAAGTCAGCCGTCCGGGCATTCACTTCCATCGGTCCGACAAAAATCAGCCTTTCCAAAAACCATGCTACGAGAAGCTACTGATCGCCTCCCAAGCTCCGTCTTTGCCCCAATGCAACGGTGCTCCCTCCGCCTGTCCACAGGCTAGGCCCCGTCTGAGGAACGTTTCACACCCCGCCCGGCAGATCAATCGAGCCGAAGCTCGTCACCGCGCGGACGAGGATGCGAATAAGCGCTTAACGTGACAAACTCCCATTAGACAGCTCGGTGGCATGACCCCCGCATACGAACAAACGGCAGCCTGCAAAGAGAACGATGTTTGACAACCTGCACTGGCCGGTGCAGACCAATCCTTTCCTTCCGAAAGGCAGGACGCTCGAATCCCATCATGCAAACACAAGTCCCAAGCGGGACACATATAGTACAAGTGTCATCCCCTTGGTGCACCTAGCGCTTCCTACCCATAACTCACAGATTTTTTCTCAGGACAACGAGTGTCACTCCCCCTACTTTCATACATAGTGGTTGGTTCCTTCTCGTGAGAATCTTCAAGGGTGAGATAATTTTCCTTGGAGTCTAGCAACTCCCTTCGTTTCCCTTCTCTTCACTTGTCTGTCCTTTCATAGGGTAGGATTGTTCCTTCTTGATAACCCGTTGTGTTCATACTGGTACCTTAAAGCATTTAAAAAAAAAGGTGCAAAGTGCATGAGCCCACTGGGCTTAAAGAAGGAGATAGAAGGGCACCCGTCCGGTCGGATCACTCCGCCGTGGGATTTTCATTGGAGCCTGACCTAGGCCAAGCACCAAACGCCTGCCAGGTAACGGGAGCCCTTCTTTATACGAAGAGGAAGGGTCGACCTGCGACTTTCCCAAAGCTTCCCCGGACTGGCGAACAGCAGCACCGGACGAAGGAGGGCTAAAACCATTCCACAAGGAAATGGCCGATCAAGTGCATGGCATGCATGTTATACCTCCAGGCCTGGCCTTGCCATGCGCTCAGCCACTCTCAAATCTGATTTCTCACAAGGGAAAGAGCAAACACAAGTCCATTTTCCTTATCTTGGGTTGTGTACACGTCAATGCGTCGGGCGCCCCCATCGGAATCGCAAGGGTTAATTTAACCCCATGCCCGTTACCTCCACCATTTTTGTAGGGCCAAACCCCGGGAGACTTTCGAGCCTTAGTCAACCCCACTACGGGTCCCAGTTGGCTCGGCCCGCCCACACTCATGCTCAGGGCGCGGGCCATTCGTCCCAAGGTCACCCCCACCTAGTACTTTGAGATGGATGGTGGTGGGCCATCGCGCGAGAGAGCTTTGACATTGGGGATGTAGCTCAACCCTCACGCCGGGTGGTAGTCTCGCTGGTCGCTCCGCAACGCTGATTTCTTTTTAATTCTTTTTAGTGTTCTCAAGCAATTGCTCCTTCCAATACGCAGGCAGTCCAGGGGTTCTTTGAGCCTTTCTCTTCTCTTGTGCGTAGGCTAAGCGTCATCCTTAGGCCACTCACCATTTCCCTAGGCATTTTGGCTATATGGCGTCATCGGGGTGCGGCGGGGCCGTCCTTCCCCTCGCCTCTACGCATCCATCGGATCTCACAATTTGCTTATCACCTTATTGAAGTAGGCCCCTTAGTCTTTTCGGGGTCCTCATATGCATGCGCAGACAACATCACATTTTCCTTGGTACGATTGCACTCCCAATCACACTTTCAAGTCTCAAGTGCAAAAGTCATTTTCATGAAATAACTCTATGTTAAGGGTCTCATAGCCCCTTTGTCCCTCTTCCCTTTCCCTTTTGGTGCCCACTTCCTCTCGCCCTTATCCCGCTCAACGCATTTCTAGCCATTACTCACCTGCACAATCCCACACAAGCAAGAAGATTCATACAATGTCCCCTGTTGGGGGTCAACAAAAAGCCCTTCCCACATGCCTATTCTTTCCATGCTCCTTGGCTGTGCTTTGTTCCCTCTTTGTTGTTCAATCAGCCCACCCTCTTCTCATAGTCATTTAGTCGGGGAAATGGTTGAGTCAAACTGACCTCACTTTCAACTTATGTTTTCTTCCGGATTCCGCCTCTACCACTTCCTTTTTTGGACGTCCTCTCTCTTGCCTTCTTGGTGGCACAAGGGACCGGCTACCCCCCCCTTGTCCTCTTTCTCCACCAAGTGAGGTCTGATTTCGTTCTCCGCTCGTGCCCTCGCAATGTTTTCCAAGTGAGGGGA